AGAGCGTCGAGTCGGGAGAAATCGGGGAGTGCGCCGGAAAGGGAGTTGTTGATGAAGCTTAGGGTGCGGAGGGAAGGGAAGTGGGTGAGAGCTTCGATGTTTATGGTGCCGATTAGGTTGAGGTGGCGGAGACGCAGGCCGGTGATGATGCCGTTGAAGCAGAGGACGCCGGTCCATTGAGGGAGGCCGCAGGGGGAAGAGCTGTTGGGGGAATCGGCGGACCACGAGGAGAGGAAAAGGTCGGAGTTTTGAAAGGAGGATTTGAGGAGGAGGAGGGCTTCAGTGTCCGAGAGGGAAAGGGAGAGAGGGGGGAGAGAAAGGAGGAGGAGGGGGATGAGAACAACGGCCATGGTGGCGGAGGAGGAGCGGCCGCCGTCGGTAGGAGAAAGAGGGCGATTTGGCATTTTTTTTTAGTTTGATGAAACGGTTATTTTATTTTATTTTATTTTATTGATTTGGTTGATTGATGTGGGGATGAGAAAGAGCGTTGACTTGATCAAAATAAAAATGGGTGGATGGTAGGATGCCACGTTGGATTTATTGGGGTTATAGCTGTCATCTAAATGTAGATGATGGTTTTGCCGTTTTTTTATTAATTTTAGAGTCATTTACTTACAAGCCCCCTAATTCCTATATATTTTCATATCAAACACTTTAGTTTTGTATTTTGTAAATTTTTCTTAATTTTAATTTGGGGAGAATGGATTTGAAATGTTTAGAGAAAAAAAATTAAGATAGAGTATGTTGAGGTTAGAGTAATAATTTAACGTCTCAGTATTTTACGAAAATCCAACACACATGAAGATGATTTAAAAAACATTAGGAGAAAGATACCAAGACTTTTTACATGAAAAAAATCTGAAAAGAGAAGAAAATCACGGGGCCAAGTCCAGTTAAAACGATCAATCCACTATTGATTAATAAGTACAATGATAAACCATTATCTTGCAAGTAGGAAAGAAGGATTACATTGTTACACCAAGTACAATGCATGTCCATACACTGAATATGGAAAGATATGGTGAGTTATGAATACTATGATTGTGAGCAATTGCTTCGGGAAGTTGTCGCAAGATCTCCAACATATCGTGCTTGGGATAAGCCATTTCACAGTATTTAAGATACTTTGTTACCCTACACTTAGGATACTTTGTTACTCAACAGAGTCCACCAGGATACTTCATTACTCACCAGAGTCCACGAGGATACTTGGTTTCTCAAACGAGTCCACCAAAATATTTCATTACTCGACAGAGTTCCGCAGAATACTTCATTACTCAACATAGTCCACTAGTAGCGCCCAACAAGGGGTGATTGACTGTGGTGAACGACTACTAGTGGGCAGTCGTTGACGGTGGTTGATGACTACGGAGACAATGTAAACGTCGGGTCTCCAGTTCAGAACAACACTTGAATTATGCTACTCTCCATCCTCCCTCCTCCCTCCTCCCTCCTCCCCTCCCTCCTCAAAAAGTTAATGATCTTATTTTCAGTCAAACCGAGATCAACTTGAAATTAGCTCAAATTGATTGAATGCGGCTCGAAATAGGCTTGTGGCATGTTATATTCATTTTGAGCCAAGCTTCAAACCAACAAGGCTCAAAATTGAATCGAGTTCAATGCGGCTCAAAATTGAAGTTAGCTCTCTCAAATTGAGTTGTTTGGATCTATTTCAGCTTGAAATCGAAACTAGCTAGCTCAAATTGAGTTTTTTGGATACATTATAGCTTGAAATCGGCTCGTGGCTTGTCATATTCAAGTTTATTTAGTATGGTATATATAATCTTCATAATTGTACACACACACACACACACACACACACAGAGCGAGAGCCGATTTCGAGCAAGTTAGTGCCGATCCTTGTATGACTCAAAATAGGCTCGAAAAAAATGCTATGAAAAATGCTATCAAAAATTTCAACTCATAGCTAGGGCTGTCAAAAAAGCTCGTTGTTCGCGAACAGTTCGTGTTCGGTTCGTCAATGAGTTCGTGTTCGATTCGTTCGATAAGTAAACGAGACAAACGCGAACAAATTTTTTTCGTTCGGTTAGTTAAACGAACCAAACACGAACAGTGATGCGTTCGTTCATGTTCGAATCGTTATTGTTTGAAATATAAAATAATATAAAATAATTATATATAAAAAATTTATTATATTTTAAAACATTAAATTTTATAAATTATAATATATAATAAAATAATAATAATAATATATTAATATACTATAGTAGTAATATACTAATACTCGTCGTTCGCGAACAACTCGTGTTCGGTTCATGTTCGGCTCGTTCGTTAAGAAACGAACACGAGCTTATTTCAAACAAACTAAATTTTAAACGAACCGAACACGAACACAAGCTTTGTTCGTTCGTGTTCGGTTCGTTTACACTCCTACTCATAGCTCGGCTACTTTATTTTAATCTCATCTCGATTCGAGCCAAAATTCGAATCTATTTTCATATTCGAGCTAACAAGCTTTGTTCGTTCGTGTTCGGTTCGTTTACACTCCTACTCATAGCTCGGCTACTTTATTTTAATCTCATCTCGATTCGAGCCAAAATTCGAATCTATTTTCATATTCGAGCTAAATTCACCGCTCTACTCTCAATCTAAATATGATGAGCAGTGGTGTGCACAACCAAAATGTAATTTTTTTAGGATTTGTTAAGTAAAGGTATCAAAAGTATTAAGAATTTAAAACATATTACCCCCTAAAAGAAAAAATAAGCACATGAGGGATACAACTCTTAAGCAAAGCATAGAGGTATCAATTTCAATTCGAATCAATTACATGTTCGAAGGAGACAGACGCTGACTTGCTCACAAGATACTTAGGGATTATACTAATGACTAATCTAAGCCACAAAAAGTGACTTTTAAGGAAAGAAAAACAAAAAGGAAGATTTACAAGCATACCACTCAATTCTTAGGTATTTTGCATATCTAACACCTAAGTTTTAATTTATACATACGTGTTATCTTATATATGCATGGAACTATTTATTTCATTTTTTTAAAAATTAAATTGATCGTATTAAGAACCTGGAACATATTATTCCCGTCAAGGAAAGCATAGGGGACCATTCGAATTAATTGCATGGTCGAAGGAGACATACGCTGACTTCCTCGTAAGTTATTTATTGATAATATTAATGTCCAATCTAAGTTAGGACAGTGACTTTTAGGGGATGAAAAAAAAAAGAGAAGATTTACATCCATAATATATAATTGATAAATCTTCAGCAAATCTCCATCATCTCTCGAGGCATGAGATAGATTTCGAGATGATTTTTCGAACAAGAAATATTCGAACCTCGATAAAAAACTCATCCAGAACTTCAATTTCAACAAATTTATAGTCAAATTGATCAGCTTGACAAGAAGAACCCAATGTTACCAAAATTAATCTAATCTCAGTCAAATCATGACCAGATCAAGTCATTGACAACTCTTGGAAGTTTTTTGGACATATATAGAAGATTAAACGAATGTTGAATCTATTAAGCCTATAATCGAATCGAGCGTCTCAACAAGAAGAATCCAACAGGCCCGAGATTGCTCAATTCTAACATCGTTAACATACTCAAATGGTCATCAAACACCGTCAGATTGAAGGAAGCTCTTCGGACCGTCCAATCAAAGTAATTAGTATTCTTGTATTAATTGCACACATAACATTATAAATAGAGCTCCAACCCTCTCATGGGAGGGGAGCTTGAAGCTCGAAGAAGAGCTTCAAATTTTGAGGAATTGAAGTCCAGCATCACTCCAGGCACCGTCAACCACCGTTGACTGTCGTTGACCACCGTCGACCGTCGTTGTTCACCGCCGACCATTGTTGACCCCCGCTAACATTCGTCGATCACTGTCGATTGTCATCAATCGATGTTGACCACCACCGCTGACTACCATTGAACAATGTCAACTGTTGTCAACCTCTGATGACCACCGCCGATCGTCGTCGATCACAGCCCACTACCGTCAACCATCATCTGTCGGCCTCCATCGATCGCTACCAACCATCGTTACTTTTTATAACAAAGTTCACTCGTGCACCGATGTTGTAACTTGGAAGACTATGTAATACTTTCTCGCATGTTGGACAAATAGCCTCTATAATCATCAACTTATATTTGATTTTTACAATTGAGCTAGACCTCGTGGCTTTTCTTTTTACAAGTTTTTCATGTAAAAACTTCTAGCATCACTACTGGTTTTTTTCTTGTATATCAGTGTGTGTTGAATTCTCGTGCAACATTAAGATGATAATCCATTACTCTATTGCCGCGAATTTTCTAGCATGCATCAGTTTGGCGCTTTCTGTGGGGAACGAAGCAACGTTCGACTCTTCAACTCTGAGACGATGATCATCTACTTCATTTCCCAATGATATATATTATCTAACTAGCGCAGAAATCTTCTTCACATCTTGAAGATCATCTCTGGACATTCTTCGATGTGGGGGCAACCTTCATCGCAGCTTTGAAAGGTCCTTCACGCCAACGTCCCGGGCACAATTGTAGTGGGGATGTCTTCTTGTATCCTATTCAACACAAAGTATTTCACAACTTCTTCCAGTCTGGGGTGCAACTTTCACTGCATTATCGATAGGTTGTTCATGTTAACGTCTTGCGCACAACTATGATGGGGAAGTAATCACATATTTCATTCAGTTTACAAGTATACGAGAATCACTTCTCGTATGGGAAGAAATCTTCAGTGCAAATAACGTTTCCTCAGCTCCCCCTCATCTTACTAGAGTTCTTCTTCAACTAGATCAAGAAGCTAATCTCTTCAAGGTCCAATACATGTGTTGTTTTACAAACTTGCATGGATAATATCCCCGCCATAGGCAAAAAATTCAAAAGCAGCAACTAATGAGTTGTCAAACATTATGCTTGAGTATGACTGCAATCATATTTTCAAGAAAACATATGCTCCATTTTGATCTATGCTCTAGTCTCCAGAAATGCTGAGCATCTATGACACCTCATTCTAGGCTTAATCGATCCCAAGGTATTATAGGCTTAATCGATCACCTGATATAGTATTCAAGCAAAAGATTTGACATACATCCTCAGATATGTCAAAATTCCTTTGTGGATTTCCTTCAGCCTCTTCCATAACCTGTTATGTTCGCCAAGCAAAATCTTCGACCAACAAACTATGATAGGTCAACCATTCTCAATGGATTTTATATGACTTTGTTTGTTGCGGGTTAATATTGTCAAACATCTCCAATTATACAACTCAGAACTTATCTTACATCCTTAATCGATTCTTCTTTCAACCATTCTTTTAGAGGTCAATCCCAATAGAAAAAACTCGATAAGAAGATATGGTACCCCTGGAAGTTGAGCCCAGCAGATAAGACTTCATGTGAAGCTACGATGCTCCTAGAAGA